AGCTTGCTTGGGTGCCGAGTTGAAATATCCGGACAGACAGACAGACACACACATACACACACACACCGGGGTCGTCACAATATGTGTTTTTGCATAATATGTGTTTTTGCATATTGCACATAAAAACAACCGTTAAACGAAAATTGTTTATTTTTGTTTATTCAAATTTACGACGATTTACGGTGTTGAACGCACTAATTAGGTGTAAAGAAACAACACTCATGCAGTTAACCTAATTATTTAGGTTTGGGGCAAAAGCGCATGGTCGTACCGGCAAGCCTAGTGCGTCCCAACCTGTGTTTTCAATGAAACAGTATTTGCCGGAAAAACGACCGGGCTTCATGCAAAACCTAGGCTGGGACGCAATGTGCGGGCCAGTGCGATCAAGCGCTTTTGCACTATTTTGCGCGGTAGCAAGATCGCAAGAAACCAGAGTAGCTAAAATTTGTGATATACTAGCCCTCGAAGTTCGGGATACTAATTGTGCAGTTCTGTGATGTGTCTTCTGTAGATGTCAACTTCAGTGACCCGACAAACGGAAAGTTGCTGGTGCACGAAAAAGACCAAGCTAGAAAAGTTGGATTTGAAATCTTTTAGTCGCACTGAGTATTGAATATTCCCCTAAAGTTTCAGCCTTCTACCTCTTCTCGTTCCCGAGTTAGCACTTTCCCCTCCAAAATCTTCACGTTCTCGTACGTGGGTCCCGGGCAGTTCTAAGGAGTTGAATTTGGTGTCCTTTGGTCGTACACGAGTATTGAACGTTGTTTTAATGTTTCAGTCTTCTAGCTTTTCTAGTTCCCGAGTTAGCAGTTTTCACGTGGTCATGCGTGAATCTCAGACGGTTCTAAAGAACTGATTTTGAATCTTTTTGCCGCACGTTAGTAGAAAACATTACTTTAAAGTTTCAGCCTTCCAGCTATTCTCGCTCCTAAGTTAGCAATTTTCCCGTCAAAGCTTTCACGCGCTCGCACGCGGGTCCCAGACGTGCGTGAGGGTTGGTACCGCAAACCTGGGGATGGCACTTGGCCGGGGAACCAACTGGCAAAATTTTGGCGTCCGAGCTTGCTTAGTTGCCGAGTTGAAATACTCGAACAGATGAACAAACACACGCACACACATAAACATATACATACAGACAGGATCGTTGCAGTATGCGTTTTTGCTGCTTGTTGCAGCTCTCTAGCGCTGCATGGCAAAAACGCATAAAAACTGACAATTATGTGCGCTGAAACTTCAAGGGGCTCTACAACGAAACATCTTTATCCCAGCTGACGCCCTTTCCCTTAATATGCAGGAGAAGGCCGATGCACAGCAATACGAGTCTAATTGTTAAACTACAGAGAAGGGACATTCCTACTGTTAGCGATTTGCAAGTTTAACACAAAAACGCATGATCGCACTGGCAAATCTGGTGCGTTCCAATCTGAGTTTATAATAATATCATTGCAGCGGATGTATGCTTTCTGCTACCGTTGCATGTACAGAGTGCAGCTGTAATGACAGTTTAGAGTGTAAACGAATTCCTCGTTCTTCGAGAGATGTAAGGTCTGCGAAGAAAGACTATGTGAAAATCACCTGCTCTAGTTAATCCCGAAATACTGGAATATTTCTGCATATCGATACTTTTTACTGAATACAGCTTTGATGTTGTACGATGAACAGCACGACTGATCGTACTTAACGGGCCCCTAAAATATCCAAAAGTTACAAACAAATTATTTCTTTTCGACACCGCTTTAAACATCAATCACTCCCCAACTTATCCTTTCTTACATTTGTGCAGATGCAAAACGGCATGCTGACAAGAAGTTGCCCGTACGTATATGTGTACATCTGTGCGTTTGTACCTAAGTATTTGTATTTTGTCATCCACTTTGAACTCAGCAACCAGAGCTAGGAAGCTGTACTTCTTAGGGCATGTTCCCACCCTTTGCTCTACATCTCCGATTTTAAATTATCGTTTGTGTACGCCTGAATTTCGGACGGGCGCTGAAGAGAAAACATGAAAGTTTTCTGGCAATAAAAGTATTACAATATTTCACATGGATGTTCCATATTTTGGTGCTAGTTAAAGACTTCAAATTCAGCAGTCAAGCAAGCATACGTCACACATAACTGATAGGTCAAAGCTGGAATCGAAAAATTGCTGACATAAATGCGAACTTGTAAATCAGTCTGAGTAGAATGCACTGACTTTCGAGAATATTTGTAGTTCATACGTGGGCATGTAAACATATAACGAGCTTTAGTTACATCTGTGCTGCGCCTTCCCACACGCTGAACCAAAAAACCTGGCACAGCTGCACTCGGCGTTTGAGAGCACCTCAGCAAAATCACTAACTTGCAATACCCACACTAGCGGCCCGAGTCGTTTGGTATTACTGGTATTCTTGGAATGTTGTCTAGTTCCCGAGATCATTTTTCCGCCAGAACTTCCAGGTGTCCCTGTATGAGAACTAGGTACAAGTGAATGATGATTATGCGTTTTTTCATATATGCAAATGTAACCCAGGCTGAAGCGCATCAGGTGAGCCGGTGCGATCATGTGTTTTTGCACTAAACTTGAAGTAATTAGGTTAACTGCCTGAACGGTTGTTTCTTCACACCTACCTTGTGCGCTCAATGCCGTAAATCATCGTAAATTTTGCACAAAAGGAAATAAACAATTTCTGTTTAGCAATCGTTTTTTTTGAAAATGACCCAACTGTTCAATGAGTAATTTTCCCGTCAAAAATTTAAGTGCCCGTACACGAGAACCACGCGTACATGGAGGCTGAATTTGAAACCTTTAAGTTGTGGGGGCTAGGTTGGAATTTTTAAGTTATATGTAGGCTGGGTAACCCGAGAACCAGAAAAGGCTGGAAGTCCGGAACTTTAAGGGGAAGTTCCCAGCCCATGCACAACTTGAATATTAGTATCATTTAGTTGCACAGCTAATTTCTTAAACTTCGAGGATCAGCACGCCACAGATTCCGGCTACTGGGACTCCAAGCGATCTTACAACAGCATGCCACACTGCAAAAACGCTCGATCGCACATTACTTAGTTGCAGGGTTGAAACAGGTGACAAAATTCGAACTCTTGCCAATATGCACTTTAAATTTGCATAAATATTCAGAAAACACAAAAAAATTAATAAATACCGGACCGTTCGATTATATCGCCAAGCTGATAATGATGATTCAGCAGCGCTGTTTCTTCGCTCATCGCCACTGTCATCCATGGTTGCTGCTGCTGCTGTCCCAAAAACATTACTGTTTGGTACTACGGCCATCCAAAACTGCAAATTCCTCGTTCTGATATTAGCTCAATAGTAGCTGCTCAGGATTTTTCTTTCCAAAAATATTCTTATTGCGTGAATTTTTTTGTAATCGTATAAGCTTTTTTAGCTTTCTTCTTGCAAAACCTGCCCTGCAATAAAATAAGGCATAGCAATTTGCGAATGTTTTATATCAATCGTATGCATGGATTTATGGATGAGAGGTGAGAAATGAAAAGTGTGTACGAATTTACAAATGCAAACACCGTCAGTTTTTCAACAGTAGAGGAAGCAGTGGATTTGAGCCGGTGTGGAGAAGCGCAAAAATTTACAGGCCCATGAATGAAAACCAGTTCACAAATTAAATACGCATATGCGGAGCTTGAATTCATAATGGAGACCAGTTATCTTTTACGGATGAAAGTACAATAGTGCTGTAAAAGCTGCAAAACAATTCGCGTGAGTATTGGAAATTGCAAAGTAGAAACGTGATTGCAAAATGCTAGTATGCCAATTGTGCATGAAGAATAGGACGAGTTATTCGCTATGGTCTACAACTGTGAAAGTGAACATAGAGTTACTATGTGTAGGAGGTATGGATTTATATGTTTATGTCCATCAGTTATTATTATTATCATTATTATTATTAGCGTTGTTGTTATTGTTACTATTATTACGATTTTCATTCTCATTACCATTGGTCGAAGCACAGAAGAACGGTGCGCAGAATAAGTATGATATAAGCAGCCAGCATTTCAAACCTTTTGCATACATATCTTCAGGAGCAGTCTTCAGAGAAGGAAATCTACTGACCCTGTATCATCCTGAGCCTTGCTTTTTCTCAAAAACAGCAAAAGAGTGTTTTCTTGTAATAATATGAATGATGGAGGTGCAGCGGGCTAAATAGCTGGCAATTAAAATAATCGTACTGCAGGCTGCTTCGGTTATTTCATCGTTAGTCAAGCAGAAAAAGAGATGAAACATTTCCGCTTCATAAAATGAGGTTTATTACTCCCTGCTATATAGATAAGGAAGAAACGTTCTTCCCATATAATCTCTCCTCTACCAGACTGCCAGAATTGCACAACTATGGTTTAAACCACGATCAAAAACGCCAGCAATTCTTGAAATCTCTGCCGAAAGCCTCAAATTTGCCAATTTTCTGGACCAGGCCTGTATTTTGCCATTCCATAATTACCAATAAGTGAAATTCCAAGAAGCAATAGCAAAATTTTGGAAAGGAACCAAAAAAATCTACCCGTCGTATCAGTAAAAACTCGGAATACAGCTTTAAAGTAAGCAGTCTAAAATACTTACAAACAAAAGGAACAAATTTTTCAAAGACGATTTTTTTCAGTTTAGGCAATGCTGCAATTGCTTTTCGATCCCTTTCAACCATCTGGTGACACATCAGCAACTTGAAGACATGAGGAAGTAGAAAAGAGGACGGGGTTTCGAACGGTAGGGAAAGGAGGGGTGTAGTGGGGGAGAGTATCTGCTTTTTTGTGTTGAAGAAGTTAGAAATTCACTCCCCATCGCAGCATGGGGAGAAGAAAGCAAAAAATTGTGTCAGTCGGCAATAACTTAATTACGTGAGAGCAATATTTTGTCACAATGAAATGACAAGGAAGCCAAATTCTCTCGACAGAACGGTGATCAGTTCGCTGAGAGTACAAAATTTGGCCAAGCTAATGTGGAATTCAGCGCAACGGGAATGAATTCTATCAAAAGAACATTTTAAAAAAAATTGAACTAAACTGAAGTAAAAAACAGAAGGAACGAGTCCATAAATTTGAAGATAAACCTTGTATTTGAAGTGGAGTGTGAGGAAAAATAGACAAAAAAACGTCAGATTTAGAGCAAATTCTCTCCAGTAGGCAGGCTACGTTAAGAGTAAAATTACTGTGGGTAATAGCTACCAGCGATGACAGAACAACACAGAATCCTGCATGACCACATGTCTATCTTCCTTTCAAGGGCACTTGCATCTTGGGCCATGTCCACTTCTGTCCTTTGTATTTGCAGCTAAGTGGGCCCTGGTCAATCCTTCTAGTTGTCTATTACAACCAGACTAACCCATCTTTATGTGGGCCCATCCACTCGCGCTTCTTTCTGTCAGTTTTGAGGCCGAGTACGTTTCCGTTCGTCTGCGTCTCTGTCCTTCCGTCCGTCCCTGAAATAATTAAATTATTTGCTAAACGGCAATCACGTCCAGAATTGCTGGTAGTGATTCGACCACTGACTGTGCTCTCATCCGATTCTGGAACTGCTTAACTTCCCCTCGTTTCTTTCCGGAGAATTCTGGTTCAGTGGCCATTTTGCTTCTGATGCATATGGTTCTTCTTGTCCCGTGGGTTTTTACTCTTTTGTTTCCAAGATATCAGCTCGAAAGCGAGAGCGGGTAAAATTTGACAAAGGGAAAATGTAACTTGCTCAGCTAAAAATCGATGTACATCACAGATCACTGCATGCTCTCTTCTGGGCGCGAGCAACTACTCAAACGGGACAAGGAAGACAACGCGCGCATACGTAGCCGATATGGCGAATCACTACGACAAGTAAGCAGGCGAAGATGAAATTTCTACTGCGACAGTATCGGAATACAGCTGGAGAATAAGTACTAAGGGGATGGCGTACCCAGCGCAGAAGTACTGAAATAAAACTAGAAATTTGCTACAGCTTATTTTTATCGTGAAGACGTAGCCCTGCAAACAATTGGGGAAACAACTGATACAGTGGGAAACGGTTCTTGTTGCCACTGATCATTGGACGCCAGTGATACCCGGAGAAAGGAAAGCAGCTCGTGAACAAACACTCACGAGATGATGAGTGAACGAATTGAGAAGTTTGTAATTGGAGGCATGTAGCATAAGATAGCAGGACCTACTAAAGTAGTGACAACAGTAATAAATTCATGGACTGGTATGACAAAATCCTTGAAAATCCCCCCAGAAATTTGAGAAGTTCAGAAACCCTCCTCCAAAACAAGAATTTATCACTTTTGGACGATTTGATGAGTCAGTCGGTTGGTCGCTCGATCGCACACAGGGAAATTTGATAGCGCTTTTTGCGTTTGCTTTCAAACGCCATCACTGCCATCATGTGTTTGCATAAGCAATTGTTACAGATTTTGTTCCCGCACCATCCTGCCCCCTGCTCCCTTTCCAAATGATTCTTTTTTTGAAATTCTATTAAGAAAATTCGTTCAGCTCACAAAACAAAAAAATTTCCCTGCAAATTTGTACTTCAGTTTAGGATGCAGTAAGGTTTGCATTGCAGTGTGTGCATAAATCACTTTCATAAGGGATCTCAGTTTATAAGAAAATGACATATCAGCTAGTTTGCATGACACAATCGTAAATAAGCTAAAATTTAGCAACATTATTACTATTTGTCCTAAAGGAAAAGCTAGCATGCGAACCTCAGAAACTTTCTTTTACAGTGACAGAATCAAACACAGGAAATTTAGCAATTCAATTCAATTACAGAAATGGACCGAGTCCCTTGCAGAAAATTGTTATGAACCGAGAAGTAATCGAAACACTCCCTTTCACATCCGGACGCAGTGAGCTACTCAATCCACCACCAGCTTATGTGCTCCAGTTCATCCTGGCAGCGTATTTACTATATATCTGCCTTTCAAAGCAGAATATCTTGTTTTTCTCCGATTCCATACGCAGTTCTCCTCTTTTTCTATGCGGCGGCTTTTTCTTGGCCGGCTTTTCACGAGTTTCCCGCGACAATTATTATTTATTTCTCAATGGGAGTATGAAATCACTTATAAAAGAAGAGCGAGATTTTGACTGGGAGAAAGCATGACTAATAACACACTAAAAGGTGTATTTGAAATAACGCAATAAACGGAAAGCAGTAGAAATTATTTCTTCGATAACCAAACTGAACTGAATGTAAAGGATCGCATGTTTCACTATTACCTTCTCCTCGACCGATTAACAAAGGATTACCAGCGTACCCTGCTTTCATACATTTTGTAGCATTTCTGACAATCCGTCAGCGATACCGGCTTCCAATATAGAAAGCATGCCAGACGATCACTATTCTATGATTTCAATAGAAACGCAAAGTGCACACTAGAAGAAAACTGAAGTGCAAAATTTGGCTTGACGGAAGCAAAGTTAAGATAAAAAGGCGCACAATTATATCGAAGACAGAAAATTTTAACTGACGGGAATTGAAGCAACTGGAAGCACCAAACTGCGTAGAAAAACAAATAAATAAACCCGAAAACGTTGAACAGTAACACATATAGTAAATAGAGCATTAAAACAGAAAAAGTAGCCAACACAGAGAGATACACGAAATTGCAGTGTACTTTTTTTTATATTTAATTCAATCTGTTACGAACGTGTAGATGGAATGAAAAGTTTCAAAGAAAATTCAATGTACATCTTCTGCTTACTTTAGATTTCACCTAAAATTTTTATTTTTGAATGTAAATATGGGCGATTTTTTCGAATTGAATGTGTTATCTTTTCTTAATGAATGTATAGCTAATGTAAAGTTTTCATGTAGGCAAATTTGAATAGGAACAATATATGAGAGATCTTGATGTGCAAAAGTACAAATCGATGCGTTTTTATGATCAGAGAGATTTTGGCAAAAAAAATTTTTCGTGCGGTTTTGCTTCCGGTGGCTTTTTTCAGTGACTTTTTGATTACTTTTAGACAATCGAAGTGTTGCACTTCTCACTTTCTCTCTGCCCCACTTATCTTAAAAAATTCGCATCAACACCCTTTCGAGCCATAACGAGTGCAACTCAATAAGCCTACAACAAAAACAATATTAAATAAGCAAGGACATACCACTAGAAGTCCGTCCTGGCCTAGACGTTTTACTACACGATGCTGTTGCTGCTGCAGGCTCATGACGCATGAATGAGAGAAAATACACAAGAATTCACTTTGCTTTGTGCACTTATCGATCATATGATAATTTGTAGCTTAGTGGCAGCTAATAGTTAATTTATCGCACATTGCGTTTAGATCTACAAGAAG